GTAGCCACCTTGATTGTTGATGTAGCTGACCTCTTCTAACTGGTTCCCCTCCCCATCTTGGACTTGATACTGGTCGTCATCGACTAGAAAGTGTACAGGCTTCTGCTGGTTAAGGAGAAGCTTATCCAGTTTCTCATTAAGAGCTTTCATCTCTTTACTATGCTTTGCATCCGAATCTCCAATACCTCTGTTGGAGCGATCAAAATCTTCGTTATAATTACCATCGGATTGAGCTAAGTTCTCAATTAACTCCCATCCTTCTTCAACATCCTTATTCAAGAAGTTCCCATTAGAAGCAGTGTCCAGCAACATTCTGATCTTGGGCAAAACTCCCCTGTAGAGTGTGCTTAGTAGAGAAGCCTTCTTGAAACCATGGTGTGGACATTGTATAGTGTAGCCTTTGAATCTTTCCCAGGCCTCACAAATGGATTCAGACTGCTTTTGGGTAAAACTGGAGATTTCGTTCCTTAGCCTTGCAGTTCTTGAATTTGAGAAGAATTTTGTTAAGAAGGCCTTCTTGCAATCGTCCCAAGATGTGATGGAGCCAGCAGGTAACGTCTTTTCCCATTGGTGTGCTTTGTCTCCCAGTGAGAAGGGAAACAGGCGCAGCTTGAAACTGTCCTCACTAACACCGTTTATCTTGGTTAGGCTGCAGAGCCTGTCGAAGTTATCCAAGTGGTCTAAAGGATCTTCCAGAGGCAGACCATGGAACTTGTTTCCCTGAATCATCGAGATGAGACCACTTTTAATCTCGAAGTTGTTGTTTTGGACAGCAGGCGGTACAATTCCTTGCCTCTGATGGTGGTTTCTTGGTGCATCTCCAGCACCAATGTTAGCAGGCAGATTGTTGACATCTTGTTCATCAGCCATTCTGAAAGGATGGTTGTGTTCAAGGTCTACTGTGTTTCTCCTTTCCCTTAGTTCTCTGTCAAGACGGTCAATGTTATCGTCGAAAAGGAGGTTCTGGTTGCCTTTTGATCGAGTTTGCATACAGTACCTGGATCAAGAAGACAACAAGAAAAACACAAAGTGAGTGACTAAAGTGAAAATTGAAATAGAACTTGATCTAAGCAAGTCTGAAATCTTAAATGTAACAAATAAACACCCAAATGGCAACGGCGCCAAATTGATAGTAGGATTTTAACTAAGATCAATTATCCTTAAAGTACTATCATGTCATTGTAGTATGTTAAGGTGTCAATCCAAATGGGTGTGATGCTAGCAATCAAGATGCAATCAGATGTCACAGAGTCAAGCCAAGCAATAACAGGTTTTGGTGTTTCTAACAGTCCTAGGTGATCATTCAAAAACAGAAATTCTAACAGAAACAGGCAATATACTCGATCACACAGCTTGACACCAAGCACTGGGTGTGGTCGAGTATCAGGTCGAGCAACTTAACAGAAACTGTAAACAGGGTACTCGACTGCACAGTTTGTTACCAAACTACTGGGTGTGGTCGAGTACTTCAAATGAAACAGGGTGGAAATGATAAAACTGAGCAACAAGTAACAAGATTAAACAATCAAAAACGATGTAAACAAAGAAATCAATTGGAAGAGAAATTCCCGAGGATGGGGTAATCGAGTAGTGAAGTCTCCTTAATCTACAGGTGGTTAATCATGCTCAACAAACTATCCCTAGACAACAAGTTCAATAACCAAATCAAAGTGCTACCGCATCAGAGATCCTCAAGCAAAGCTAGTCCCAGACTCAATCACCATTGACGAGAGCTAACCTAACAGGCACTACGAATCAACAAGTCTAAGCCAAAACGCTCCCTGTAACCAATACCTTGGTACAGAGCCACGAATCTCTGGAATTAGTGGTTCAGACATTTCATCGAACACCTTGTGGGTGCGGAAATGTCTGGGCTCAAATTCCAGTTGATCAGAAAGAAATTAGCATTAAGAACAACTAATCCAGAAGGGATCTACCAATCAAACTCAACCACCTAGCAGATCAAGGATTCTAAGCTACTCTAACCCATCCTCAAGAACCCTAATCACTACTCAAAATTCATAACCAAGAACACAAACCCAGAAATGCATAAAAACTTCATATTAGCAAGATCTCAACAAGATGAACAACTTTGTAGAAGAAATCAAAAGCAAATACTCAATAGATTAAGAGAAATCTGGATTACAAATATGAAGAAAGCACTAATTGTTCTGCAGAATATAAAGCTTAGTCTGAAAATTATGAGAAACAACCTATTTATAGCAAATACTAGGAAACCCTAAATCACAAAACGACATAGTGTTAGGGCGGTTTACGGAGATACTCGACCCTTGTGATCGAGTAGAGAGGTTGAATAAAGTTGGCGCCTTTGCGATTTCTTGCTCTGGGCATGTTGTGATCGAGCACTTGGGTCGAGTATGTGCTCGCGTTCTGCTTCATCCTCTTCTCTTCCTTATGCTCAATGTCTGGTTGAGTTGGGATCTGAGAAGACTCTGAAGCTTGTGATCAAGAGGCTGCGTGGCGGTGGTGATCGAGCATCTGCTCGAGTGATCCGAGGGAGGCTTGCAGGGGAATGCTCGACTGACACGATCGAGTGCCGGGTTGCTCGACCACACGGTCGAGTATGACGACAGAGGGTGCGATCAAGCGTTGTGGCAGGTTGTGGTCGAGCATCTGCTTCAGTGGCCAGGATGATGGTACTCGACCTCGTGGTCGAGTATGTGGTCAAGTGGTGGCGTTGAAGTGGTGATCGAGTCATTTGGTGAAGAGCATGGTGGAGTGTTTGAGAGGCGGTGGAGCTAATCTACTCGACCACCGTGGTCGAGTGGATCCTTGTTTTGTTCCTGATCATGCTCGACTGAGTAGGTTGAGTGTGCTGTCTGGTTTGGCTCTGCTTCTCTCAATCTGCTCACAAGTGGCTCCGAAACACCTGAAAACAACTCAAATATGCAATATGCATGCAAAACTATACTAAACATGTAAAGTGATGACAAATTATGAAGAATGGTATGAAAGAGTGGTGAAATGATGCTAAAGTGAAGACAAATGAATGCTCAAAACAAGTAAAATATAGACATATCACGGTTCTAGTTCTTATACCCAATCATACACTAGAGATCTAGTCATATTTGACTCCAAAAATACTAACCAAGCTTCTTATACCCTCTCAAAGCTTTGTGGGTGTGGCCGAAGTCCTATGAGTTTTCGGTTTAAGAGCTTTTAAACGGAAAAACACTACTTTTGCTTACGGGATCCGGTTGCGGTTCTAGTTCTTATACCCAATCATACACACGAGATCTAGTCATATTTGACTCCAAAAACACTAACCAAGCTTCTTATACCCTCTCAAAGCTTTGTGGGTGTGGCCAAAGTCCTATGAGTTTTCGGTTTTGGAGCTTCTAAACGGAAAAACACTACTTTAGCTTACGGGATCTGGTTAAGGTTCTAGTTCTTATATCCAATCATATACACGAGATCTATTTATATTTGACTCCAAAAACACTAAACAAGCTTCTTATTGCCTATCAAAGCTTTGTGGGTGTGGCCGAAGTCCTATGAGTTTTCGGTTTTAGAGCTTTTAAACGGAAAAAACACTACTTTAGCTTAAGGGAACCGGTTGCGGTTCTAGTTCTTATACCCACTCATACACATGAGATCTAGTCATATTTGACACCAAAAACACTAACCAAGCTACTTATACCCTCTCAAAGCTTTGTGGGTGTGGCCGAAGTCCTATAAGTTTTCGGTTTTGGAGCTTCTAAACATATAAACACTACTTTAGCTTACGGGATCCGGTTGCAATTCTAGTTCTTATACCCAATCATACACACGAGATTTAGTCATATTTGACTCTAAAAACACTAACCAAGCTTCTTACAAACAGATACGAGGTGCCCCCTGCCTTAAGCCCCTTGAGCTTTGAAAAAACCCTGCTAAATCACAATTGATATGAACCGAAAAAGAAGGCCATGTGATACAAAGCATGATCCAATGAACATAACTTGGTGGGAAATCCAGAGCCGTGAGAACATTCTTGAGAAAAGACCATTGGACTAAATCAAATGCCTTTGAGATGTCTATTTTTATAGCGCAGCGTCCGGAGATTGTTTTCTTATGATAGTCTTTAACTAGTTCTGTTGCAAGGAGCATATTCTCTATCAAAAGCCTGTCTTTTACAAATGTCGATTGGTTCCCCGCAATGAACTTCGGAAGGACTGCTTTAAGCCTATTAGCAATTTTATTCAAACATGTTTTCTGTTTCATTAATCATGTCTGAGATATTTCCCTGTTAGGTTTAGGGATTCTCATTAGGGACTTAGAAGAATTAGTACACTACAAGAAAAAAGCTAAATTCCAACAGCCATCTATGTTGTTAATTTGTAGGAATTATATGTTTCCAATAAATTTTCAATAGAACATATATTTGTTGGAATATGATCGTTGGAAATCTACATTTGTCACGAATTTATTGGAAACGTTTCCATCGAATAATTCTATGACCAATTTGTTGGATAGTTCTGATAATTTTTTTGTTGGATATCTGTTGGAATTTACCGTGAAGTTTCTAACGAATTGTTCCAACATATATTTTGTTGGAATGTCATTGATAATTTGCCACAAATATTCAACAAATCTGAAGGTTTGTTTATGGGAAACTACTAATAACATATTTGTTGCAACTTTGTTGAAACGTTTTCTTGGAAACGTGTGAGAAATTTCCGACGCCTTATTTGTTGGAACTTCATAGAAATTTAATGATAATTTAATTGTTGAAATTTTATTGCTATTTGTTTCTTGTAAATTTGTGAAAAACTTCTGATAATTTAATTGTTGGAATTTTATCAGAAATTAATCGTTGAAAATATGTTGATATATTCTACTAAATTTCCAACAAAATGTCTCATGAACCATTTATCAACTTTTTGTTGGAATATATTTTTTTAGGTAATTTTAAATAAAAAAATATTATAAAATTACGAAATAAATAAAAATAAAAATAAATAATAAAATTAAAAATCATAATAAGTAAACATTTTAAAATCTCAAAACACTTAAACATCCAAACATAATATTGAAAAACAATCCTAAATGCTTAAACTCTTAATGAAACCAAATTACTAATTGAATTCAAAGACCACCATTGGTGTTCATTGTTGTTATCATGGAAGGTGGAACTTCATTTGGAAACTTGTTCTGCATCATAGTAATCCAAAAATCAACATCTTTAAACTTCAGCAGCATTCCCTCAATCACTTGGTCCGATTTCTGGAGCTTTTCTTGAGTCTCAAGATACATTTCTTCATAATTTGGAGATGCATCAACACTAGGATCAGCTACCGGAATTGAACCATAGCCAAATTTCTTCCCTTTCTTCACTTGAACTTCCTGGAATTTCAAAATTGCATGTTACAATTCACATAAGAAAAAATTATTAAAAACATAAAGTATGGTTAAAAAAAAAACACATGAAGTATAATTAAAAAAATAATAGAAGTTTCAGCATTTAACGTACCCCTTGGTAAATGGCATCAATTTCTTCTTGTGTAAGATGGTTAGTGTCCAAAGTGTCACCATCGTCATTGTCTCTTTGACTGAGAATTTGGTGCTCCATGTTTCGACATTTTTTGGCGATCAACTCAGCTTTTTTGCACACAAATACACCATCAGACTTTCTCTTATGGGTTGCTTCCATAAAAGTAACCATATCTGGGAGCTCTCCTGTCACCTTATCACGCTAAACAGTTTTGAAACACACAAATATGTCATTATAGAAAACTTGGACTGAATTTGATAGAAACTATATCGAATGCAAAAAATAAAACAAATTACCATCTCTTCTCTTCTCCGGACATATGGCATTGACCCACATGTGTGCTTAGCTATCCCTAAGCCACCACGATCGCTCTTCTTATTTTTGGAGTTGGTTTTGCTTCTCTTGATGCTTTTCTCGTTTTCCCAGAAAGCAATAAGACCAATCCAAACAGAGTTCAGCATCCATTGGGGCTTCCCCTTGTCTTGCTTCCATGCCTTTTTCCATTCATGGACATATCCCAGCAAACGAGATGCACACAAAGTCTCAAACTCATGTTGAACAAGTGTTGTTATCTCATAACGCCAATTATACTTTTGCTACAAGATCAAATAAAAAGAATGAAAATCAAATAGATAACAATGTCTAAATAGTAACACTAACTATAAAGACTTTGACAAAACAAATATAGAAAAAATATACCGCAAATGCTTTGAACCAACGTAACTTGGTATCGCTTGAGAGTGTTGACCAATTAGGAGCCACTTCTTTGAAATCGCTCTCCACAATTTTTTTCACAGCCTTAGTAATGCCCTTGGTGTATTCAAACCTTGTATGTTAATAAATATAAGAGTAGTTATATAAACAGGAAATCAACTCTAGTTAACATAAATATAAATCAATGATACGCTTATTCTAATAGTTCTGTTTATGTGGCTTAGACATAGTGTAAACTTTGTAACTAATTAAGTGGCTTAGACATAGTGTTTGCACATAGAATAATCAAACTCGGCTGTAATGAATCTACTATCTTAGATTAAGAAAAAAAAAAGCCATGTTAGGTTTCGTTGACTTCTAATTCAACATAAACTAATCTATCATGACAACTCATTCAAGTCATTCACGGACCACATTTTATCTCTAATCTTACTAAGAGAACAAAAACTCAGAGAATAAAGTTAGAGAATTAAAACAGAAGTTTAAGTGGAATTTACCATCCATCACCATTCATTCTTCTCGGATCAAGTTTTTATAGGCTTGCACGGCCTGCAGATCGAAGCAATTGGTCCAGAGTCACTAATTCTGCTGGATCCGTTGAGCCTTGTCCATTTGTAGGCGTCTCTGGTACTCTAGACGGTTCTCCAGCATCTGTAGGGGAGTCACTCATCTGTTGAGAACTAGATCCCAATAGGTTTTGGTCCATCATTTTTCTATAAGCCATATAGTCATCCCAAGTCCCCATGTCTACATGAGTTCATGAAATAGATAAAGAAACTCAGCTACAAAGTTCGAAATTAACAACGAAAATTCATCAACAAAGCCAGTTTTATGATCAAAAAAGTAATAAAATTACCTGTAGAAAAGAAGAGTTACGGTGGTGAGACGTGAAGAGTAGTAAAGAAAACCTGTGGAGTGGGGATCGCTAAATAAAAATTAGGGTTAACATAAGAGGTTATGGGTATTAATAGTTGTGGTAAAACCAACCGAAATTAATGGGATATATTCGCTAACCAAATTCTCTAAAAAAACAGCGGCAATTTCTAAATTTCTGTAAAAATAACATAAGAGGTTATGGGTATTAATAGTTTTTGATACACGTTTTGATACACGTGTATAGGTATGATTGACTCATCACCGTAACGGAGTTGACTAACAACCATTAGATTGACTCCGATTTTTGCACGTTATATCAAGTATAGGTATGAGATTCAAATTTTATTGTAGTTTAGGTTGTAAATCACCCTACAAAATTGTCTACGTATGAAAATCCACGGCGCAGACAGTACAAGTATGAAAATCCCCTTTTCCCTTTATCCTCACTCATACAGTTCCGACAATCACTTCCCGGAAGGTTACCCATCCCGAAGCTCCAGCTTAAGCACGCTTAACTGTGGAGTTCTCTCATGACGTTTGACCGAAAAGATAAGTGCACTTTGGTGACATAGGTGGCCAAATCAATTCTTTTAAACCTCTCTATATGCACCACCATATTCCTGAAACTGGGGTGTTACAATTCACCCCCACTAACAGATCGCAACGTCTTCATTGCGCACCAAGACCGTCACCCCCGACGGTGTGAGCCCTCTTGACTCCACACTCGCCAGGGTTTCGCTCTGATACTACTTGTAACGCCCCGACCGCCCCTACCACTCCTACCTGTGAGCACCCACGTCCTCTCTCGGGCTCGTGGGCCCTGTCCTTATCCGGTAGTCGGTCCCAACGTCCGGGAGAATTTAAAGACTTGTTTAGCGATCCTACAAATCACCACATGATCTTTCTTTGTGTTTTGTCTTCACTCACACAATTTCGATATTACTTCCCAGAAGGTCACCCATCCTGAAATTGATCCAGCTCAAGCATGCTTAACTTTGGAAATATCTCAGGATGTTTGACCGAAAAGATAAGTGCACTTTGGTGACATAGATGGCCAAATCAATTCTTTTATACCTCTCCGCATGCACTACCATATTCCTAAAACCAGAGTGTTACACAATTCAAATAATTAATCAATAAAATATATATTTTTCAAAAAAAAAACTCTTTGCAAAATGGTTTTCGAAATCTCACCTTCCAGGTCGGCACCGGAGTGGGCTTAACCTAGGCTCTGATACCAAAATGTAACACCCGTCCAGCATTATAGGCCAAGACAACTTGTTATTCATCTGGGCTCGCCAAAACGCTTATTTCTTTAAACATTGAAAACTTGTCCACGTCTCATAAAAGAGTGAAGACAATGGCGAAACTCTAATCACACTCAACAATCAGTGCATAGCATAGAATTAGACTCCACATTCTCAAACATGCATTCAACAAACATACATATTCTTACATTAATTCAGGCATGCTTATACAAAATCATCAACAATAACGCTAAACCGATATTTCGTCGACTTAGCATGGCACAAAACCAATCTCAGGCTTGTCCAATCACCAGGCACGAAATCACTCCCAGGTTCGCCCAATTACCAGGTACAAAACCAATCTCAGGTTCACCCATCACGAGACACGAAACCAATCCCAGGTTTGTGCCCCCATCGCATCAACTCATTTTATATTATCACACATCAATCATCATGAATCTTATCATCAAATCATAGCACGCAATAGCAAACAATAGACAGATATCCAATCACATAGTTTCCAAGCCTATACAAGCAATTCATGAAAATAATCATTGTATTACCACGATTACCACCCTCACCTGAGCCTTAACTTCTCTGAGACACTACGGTTCGAACATGGATTTCAAGCTTGGTTCTCCATTAACCAAGTCATAGATACATGCCTCATAAATGCTCCGGCAGAGCTTCATCTCAATCCACCTTGTGTGACAAATCAAACAATATAATATGTCACCATTTACTCTATAAATAATTGTCTCGGAAACACATGAATAAAACAATAACTAACCGTTCAAAACCATCCCACCGTCGAATCCATAGACTGTAGTACCATGAATAACTCCACCAAGTTTCAGCCAAATCGGAATGATATAGGACTTCCAAATTCTGCCCTAAAGAAGCTATCCTAGATCTGTTCTTGTAGGGTTACTGGGTTTGAACAGTTTCAACTGTTACTTGACCAGAAAGCAACGTGAATAACTTCTTTGATTTAACTCTTATTGAAAATCCGTCAATTGCTATGTAATCTTGGGTTGCTAAACATCGCATCCGTACTTTTACTTTGCCAAAACGATATCAGATTATACAGTAACGATCCTCCCAAGTTGCCTCCTCCACACTACTTTATTTCCTTCTTCCTCTTTCTTATTCTTCTCTCCTCCACCTCTGTTCACTCTGGCTTTGTTCTTCACCACCACCGAAGACTGCCACAGCCATGCCATGACCAGTCACGCCCACCACTGGTAGAAACCGACTTCTCATTCTCTCTCTCCTCTCCTTCCTTTCTCTCCACTTTCCGGGGACAAGATCACTGCCTCCTCCATCACTATTCCACGTGAGACCTCACTTCTCTTCCACGAGATTCACAACGGCTTGACAACTCATCAACGATGGTGATTTCATGAATAACGGATTAGGGTTGCTCAACCTTTCTCTCTTTGTGGCTAGCGAACGAGAAGCACATAACACACACGAATCAAACCTTTTTCTCGTTTGTATTAAATACTTAGGCCTTTCATGGCTGGCTTTTCTTTTAACAAAATGGGTAGAGCTGTCAATTGGGCGGGCCGCCCATGGGCTTGCCCAGTCCAAATGCACATGGGCGGGATATAGTCCGGACCAAAAAACAAATGGTCTAATTGGGTATATGACCAGTTTTGTCCGCGGACAATATGGGCTTGACCATATGGACAATGGGCAACCCAATTACAAGAATTGATTGAGTCAATAGACATGTCTTCATTTTAATCATATTTTTATGATTTTAATTACAATTACAACTAAATAATTTTCAAATTATTATATTTTACATTTATAAGTTTCTATTTTTATAAAATATGTAAATTTTAATAAATTATTTCATATTAAATTATTTAAGGTTTTCAAGGAAAGGACAGTATTCCACAATTTTTTGGAATACAAAATTTTTCGATTTTACGGTTTTGGCGGGAAAACGCAATTCTCCGATTTTTCGATTTTGACGGAAAATGCAATTCCGCAAATTTTCCACCAAAATCGTGATTTTATTGTACTGGCGAGAACACAATTTTACGGTTTTGACGGGAAAACGCAATTCTCCGATTTTACAGTTTTGGCGGAAAAACGCATTTTTCCCGCCAAAATCGTGATTTTAATATATTGGCGAAAAACACAATTTTACAGTTTTGGCGGGAAAACACTATTCTCCGATTTTACGGTTTTGGCAGGAAAACGTAATTTTCTCCTTAAAATCGTTATTTTATTGTATCGGTGAAAAAAAATTAATTTTACGATTTTACCGTTTTGGTGGAAAAAAACAATTCCATAATTTTTCCGCCAAAATCGTGATTTTATTGTATTGGTAAGAAAAACACAATTTTACCGTTTTGGCGGAAAAACGCAAGTCTCCGATTTTTATTGGCGGAAAATGCAATTTCTCAATTTTCTCTCCAAAATCATGATTTTTGATTTATCATTAATAACAATAATAAAATGGGCTGACAATGGGCTGACCATGGGCTTGCCCATATGGACATGGTCTATATTAGGGGTGTCAAAATGGGTAACCCGACCCGACCCGACCCAAACCCATATGGGTTCGAGTGTTTAATGGACGGGTTTGACCCGACCCATATATTTATATGGGTTGAATTTACATACCCAAACCCATTATTGTAGAAATCCATTGGCTTAATGGGTTATATGGGTACCCATATATATGTATAATAAAATATATAAATAATAAAAATCTAAAAAAATAACATAAAATTGTAAACCAACAAAAGTTTTTAAATAATAAATTAAAAAAATCTAGATATTATACATATATTTTACTTTTTACTTTTATTTTTAGGTAAAATGTAAACTTTAATAGTTATTTTAGATATTTTACATATATAGTTGTAAAGAAAAGAAGATATTTTACATATATTTATATAAATTTTACATAATATATTAATATAGATATATATAAATTTTACTTTTTAGTTTTGGTTATGAAACCCATGGGTAACCCATGACCCTAATGGGTTTTACCCATTAAACCCATAACCCTAATAGGGTAACCCACTAAAACCCATTTATATATATGGGTAAAAAAATTCTACCCAAACCCACTAAAATCATGGGCGGGTTCGGGTAACCCATGGGTATTAACCCATTTTGACACCCCTAGTCTATATTGGGCATGGACATTTTTTTGGACCATTGTCCATTATGGACCGTTCAACTTGGCCCATAAAAAAAAACTGTTCGTACGGACACGCCCAATGGTCCCTGAACGGACCATTTGACAGCTCTAAAAATAGGTTGGTTTGGGCTATTAGATTTGGGATGTTACACTGTTAGCTACATCTTAATAAGATATATACCAAAGACAATATGATGTGAGATCCACACTTATAGAACATAAATCAATATGTTTATATATCACATAACAAAGAGAAGTTGTAAAAAAGGTGCACTATATAATATTATATAATAAAAGTATGTGCATCGTATGAAATATTCATAATGCCAATAATTGAGTACTATGAATATATTATACTACAAATCATGTATTTGGTTTCTATGGCAATTACTAAAACAAATCACGATCATTATAACACTCATAACTCAAGTGATATGATAATGGACCAGCAGCTTGAACCCGAGAAAATAAGAACAAAGGAGCAGCTTGAACCTGAGGAAATTGGAGCTAAGGAGCAGCTTGAACCGGAAGGAGCTAAGCTTGTAGCTGAGGAGGAGCTTGTAGCCGAGGAAGCTTTAGTCACACCCGTTGGTCCTATGACTCGTTCTAGATTTAACTTATTCAA